ATTTTGAGATGTGGTCTTTTTATATGTGATAATGTTTGTAGATACACTTGTTTGATAAAAATAAAAAAGTGATTTCATTTTTAAAAGTTATGAAATGTACATTTTGGTGTGATTTTTATGAATGGTGTTTTGACTCATAGTTTTGGAATGAAGTGAATGTGCAGATGGGTTTAGAGTTTGAAATTGATGGAGCTTAAATATATTTAAATTGTCTGTGTTTGATTATTCAAATGTAGGTGTAATTTCATAATGAGCGATACAAAATGATAAAAACAGATTGGTTAAATTCTCACATTGATGAATTGTAATATTTAAACAATATTTGCTTCTTCTTGGTAAACAATTAGTGAGTTATTTCCCTTTACTTATTGTGAACAGTTTGATACATTGGAAAATTTCTATATTTTGTGTTGAAAGCAGGTAAGTGTATGTTACTTGATTATATTATTTTTTATTATTGCAGGTTTGGTTTATTGGAAAGACAGAAGATCATAGAGCGGTGAAAGTGTTGCAAACTTTTACTTGAACAAAGCCAAAATATTCAAAACTAAGCGGTGAAAGTGTGGCGAACTTTTATTTTAACAGAGCCAAAATACTCTAAACTAAGCGGTGAAAGTGTGGCGAACTTTGACTTTAACAGAGCCAAAATACTCTAAACTAAGCGGTGAAAGTGTGGCGAACTTTGACTTTAACAGAGCCAAAATACTCTAAACTAAGCGGTGAAAGTGTGGCGAACTTTGACTTTAACAGAGCCAAAATACTCTAATAAACTAAGCGGTGAAAGTGTGGCGAACTTTTACTTTAACAGAGCCAAAGAATCTAGAGAAATCTAGTTGCTATTCATATCTCAATTTTTATTACTAGAGAAATCTAGTTGCTATTCATATCTCAATTTTTATTACTAGAGAAATCTAGTTGCTTTTCAAAACTCAATTCTTATTACTAGAGAAATCTAGTTGCTATTCATATCTCAATTTTTATTATCTAGAGAAATCTAGTTGCTATTCATATCTCAATTTTTATTATCTAGAGAAATCTAGTAGCTATTCATATCTCAATTCTTATTACTAGAGAAATCTAGTTGCTTTTCAAAACTCAATTCTTATTACTAGAGAAATCTAGTTGCTATTCATATCTCAATTTTTATTATCTAGAGAAATCTAGTTGCTATTCATATCTCAATTTTTATTACTAGAGAAATCTAGTTGCTATTGGTATCTCAATTTTTATTATCTAGAGAGATCTAGTTGGTATTCAACCCTTTAATTTAAATTATCTAGAGAATTCAAGTTTTACACTTCTTTTTTGTATTACCTTGAAAGTGAATCAATATGGGTCGTCCAAAGAAATCAAAAGCTGCTTTGTTAGCTAATATAAGCAAAATTGGAAAAAGTGCTGGTGATAAATGTACAAAAATTGTAGATCATAATGATCAGGAATATGTTGCAAAATCAAATTCTAAAGCCAGTAGATTTAATGATAAAGTTTCAAAAGAAAATGTCAATGAATTGCTTGTAGTCCATGAATCTGATAGTCCTACAGAAATTTCATATGAAAAAGTAGAAATACCTGTGAAAAGCAAGGTAAAACATGCTTCTAGTAACATAATCAAAGAGAAGAGAAAAGAGAAGTTATCTCCTAGTAAAAGTAGAAAGAGACAAGTTGAAAGGATATGTATATCTGGTAATTTTAATCAAGGTAATATAGAACGATATGGATTTTATGCCGGCAAACAGTGCACTGTGAACAGCCTTCTGTGTATGATATACAGAAAAATTATGAATGTAAGATCATGGAAAAGTTCCACCTTAGACAAAATCTTAGATTTAGGAAATGAATACTATCAGATGCTTCAGTCTCAACCTAATATACAACATGATTATATTATGGTCAGTGAATTAGTAACAACTGTTGAAGTTAAAGGTAAATATTTTTATTTAGATATCAGTGATAATTCAGAAGTTGGAATTATAGATGCTGCCAATTATGTTGCCATAGGTCTGTTTGAAAATCTTCAAACATGTTTGAGAACATATGAGTCTTGTTTTGTGACATTTAATGCAAGCACTTTCGCTATTATGCAACATGATGATAGTTATTTTGTATTTGACTCGCATTCAAGAAACAATTCTGGGTTATTATCAGAAAATGGCTGTAGTATTCTATTAGAATATAATGATATTAATGATTTATATGTACATTGTTTAAATTTAAGTGTATCAATGAATTTGAGTCGGTTAGAGCAGTATGAAATGACTGGTATTAATGTTATTATGATGGGTAATGAGAGTAATGATCCAATTAATGAAGTAAATAATTCTGTTGATGAGTGTGACATTATGCAAGTTGATGATCCAATTGAATCAAGTAGTCAAGATAATGAGACTGATGAGGTAGTTATAACTAATGTAGAAACAAATGATTTTATTTTTAATCCAATTAGATCAGAGAAAAGAAGAGAGTTATGTGAACTGATTAGTTTACCTGTTGATAACTTACATGATGTTGATGTGGCTGAGATTTGTAAACTGACAAAACCTACTAAAATAACTGAAATCAAACGAGATGGTAATTGTTTGTTTAGAAGTTTATCATTTGTTCTTTCATTATGTGAAAATAATCATAGAAAAGTAAGACTTGCTATAGTTAACCATATAAAATCAAAGGATTTTTTCGCACCTTTATTAAGAGAACAGTATCAATCTATTGATGACTATATTAAACGTTCTAGAATGAGAATACTAGGAACATGGGGTACAGAATTTGAAATATTAGCAGCTTGTGATTTGTTACAAACAGATATTTATATTTTTACAAATAATAAATGGTTGAAATATCCTGTATTACAGATTAACAATAGTTATACACCAGAAGCTATTTATCTTCACCATAGAGATGAGAATCATTATGAAGTGGTTGGAAATGTTGAGAGAAGTGAACTTATTATAGTTACTGATGATAATGTTGATACACAACTATCAGGTAAAAGAAAACATTTGAAAAAGAAACGAGGTAGTAGATGGAGATCTATTAAAAAGCGAAGTATTTATTTTCAAAACTATCATTTAGTAAAGAAAGAACTAAACTCTGGGCAAAAAGTCAGATCAAACTGGAAACTTGCATTTAGAACCAAAAAAGAAATTAATAGTTTGAATAAAAGGAGGAGAAAACAATATCAGATTAGTTATATTAAAGCTCATTTAAAAAGAAAATATGCAAACCAATTAAGGTCTATACTACACACACAATATGAAACAATACTAAAACCAAAACTTGGAGACAAATATCAAAATGTATTAAAACCAAAACTTGAAGACAAATATCAAAATGTATTAAAACCAAAACTTGAAGACAAATATCAAGATGTATTGAAACCAAAACTTGAAGACAAATATCAAAATGTATTAAAACCAAAACTTGAAGACAAATATCAAAATGTATTAAAACCAAAACTTGAAGACAAATATCAAAATGTATTGAAACCAAAACTTGAAGACAAATATCAAAATGTATTGAAACCAAAACTTGAAGACAAATATCAAAATGTATTGAAACCAAAACTTGAAGACAAATATCAAAATGTATTGAAACCAAGGCTAAAGAACAAATATCAAAAAGTTTTAAAACCAAAGCTTAAGGTTAAATATCAAAAAATCTTAAAATGGGAATTAAAATGTAAATATATATATGAAATAAAGTTAAAACTGAAACAAAGGTATATGAATGAATTGAGAATTAAAATTTTAAATAAATATAGAAATATGTATAGAACTAATTTACAGTATAGAAATAAACAAAAACAGAAAGCTAGTAATAAATATCACCACAATACTAATTATAGAGTCAAAGTAAACAAACTGAGAAATAAAAGACGAATTGCTAAAAGAAGAGAAATGAGTAGTATTGATACAGTAATTAATCAATTTAAAACTGATAGTTCTAATGGTCCTATTTATGTGTGTTCAGTTTGTAATAGGTTATTGTTTAAAAATCAAGTTAAAGAGTGTCAAGAAGAACTTTATGAAAAGAAAAGTAAACTAGTAGAAAGATTAGCAAAGAAATGTATAACTAAAACTTACTATCATATTTGTGATGGCGGTTGTATTACCTATGATTGTTGCTGGTCTGATAATTATAAAACTCTTTGGATATGTTTAACATGTAATAAAAAAATTCTTCAAGGTAAAATGCCAGCTGAGGCTGTAGTTAATGACATGGATCCTGGTCCATTATCTAATGAATTGAAATGCTTAAATCAATTAGAGAAACACCTGGTATGTAAAAATATTCTATTCTTGAAACTAGTTAAAGTTTGTCCACAAAATGATAAAAAATTATTAGGTGAGATAGTTTCTGTGCCATCAAATTTGACTGAAATGAGCAATGTATTACCAAGATGTAAAAATGATGATGAAATGATAAGAATTAAACTGAAAAAGAAAATTTCAAATAAAGGATATTAAGAATTTCAAACAGTTACAAAAAATCACATAAAAAATGCACTAAGTTATTTAAAAGATAACAATGTTTATTATCATGATGTTACTCTAAATGAGAATTGGGTTGAAGAACAAGATAAACAAGATGAAATGATAGAAGATAATATATCTGTAAATGTAGAATCTAATGATACAACAGTAAATGTAGAATCTGATCATAAGTCTAATAATGATAGCGAGGATGATTTACCATTAATAGATGATAATATAGGTAGATATACTTGTGATTCATTAGGTGGAACATGTTTACAATCTGTTGATGCCACTGCTGAAGTATTGAATAGTTCTGATAAGATATTTTCTGTTTCTCCAAGTGAAAATAATCAACCAGTTAGACTTTTAATGGATAAGTCAAATGAAGCGTGTTCATTTCCTTATTTGTTTCCTAAAGGTAAAAATACTTTTTTTGAAAATAGAGATGTTAGAATAACACTAGGTAAATATTTAAAGACTAGATTAATGTCTGTAGACACTCGTTTTGCATCATGCTCAGATTATTCATTTTATGGTCAATATATTTATGAATTACAACAGATAATATCAGGTACATCTATTGCTTTAAGACAAGGTAGAATGGGAGGTAATATGATAACAGCTGATATGTTAACTCAAGATGAACCACTACAAAATATTCTCAAATCTGATACTGGTTATACTTTTATGAAAAACTGTCGTGGAAGTCCAGCTTACTGGCAAGCTACTCAGAAAGATCTTTTTGCTATGTTAAGACAACTAGGTACTCCTACTTTTTTTGTGTCATTTAGCTGTAGTGAATTAAGATTTGAATCCTTTTTAAAAACAATATTGTTACAACAAGGTTCTACAGTAAAAGTAAGTGATTTAAATTGGTTACAAAAACGTGAATTGTTGAGATCAAATCCGGTAACAGTTGCTAGACTTTTTGATCAAAGATTCAAGTTATTTTTAAGAAATGTATTGTTATCAAATGCAGAGCCAATAGGAAAAATTTCTGACTATTTTTATCGAATTGAATTTCAACAAAGAGGATCACCACATGTGCATATGATAATTTATATAGATCAAGCTCCTAAACTAGATGTAGATAGTGATGAACAGGTTGTAGAATTTATTGATAAATATATTTCATGTGAATTGCCAGATGAGAAAACAGACCCTGAATTAAATGAAATAGTATCCAATGTTCAGAAACACAGTTCTAAACATTCTAAATCTTGTAGGAAGAATAAAAAAGTTTGTAGATTTAATTTTCCTAAACCTCCTTCAGATAATACATTTATTTGTCGACCATTAGAAATTGAGGAACCTACTGAGCAAGATGAAAATACTGAAAGTAATGAGATAAATGCAGACAATAAAAATACTTTAACTACAGATCAAGCTCGATCTATTTTAGAATCTATTTGGAAAGAATTGTCGTCTGAAGATAAAAACTATCAGTCATTGTCTAGTTTATATGATGATTGG